GGATGGAAGTCACCTACGGGCCGGATGTGGCCCGCGGGCTGCCAGTTGATTAGCCTCGTCATATATCATGATAAAATGATCATTTCACATCTCTCACACTGATTTGGAAACTTCTAGTTCATGATTTTCAAACTGTCGTTGAGTCAAACTGGAGCTGTTCTCCTGTCAGTTTTTTTATTCAGTTATTACAGATTTGTCGCGTGGCCGGTTTGGATCCGCCCTGCAGCGATAATACAGATGAAGAAGAATTAAAAGCAGAAAGACGTCCTGGCAATTCGAGTCTGCTCCAGCGTTTTTGTTTTTTCTGCACCACGTTTGTTCGTGTTCATACTTGTTCTCAGCTTCCCGAGAGAGAGGGAGAACAAAGAAGGGAGGGAGGAGGGTGAGATGAAGAAAAGAGGATAAAAGTGGGGAGGCACGCTATTAAACGAAGACCAAACCAGTTCCTCCTGCTTTCTGTGTAGAAGGTGAGGGGTTCTCAGAACAGGGGGCAGGCTGGTTTCTCTTGCCTGTAAGGTGAAACCTGTGGATTCCCAGCGGCCTCGGCTCAACCACTATTTTGGGCGATTTACTCATGCGATAAAAGCGATGCAGCTCCTGCAGAGCGACGACACGCGGGCAAACACAAACAGATCTCCCATAAACTGATGGGACGGAGTTTTATTGCTTTCGGAGGGGAAGCTGGGCTGTTAAAGCAGCAGGATGCAGCAGGGAGGACAAACAGATTTTAAAAGATGTAATGAGAATCACAAACAAACCGATGCAGAGGACTTCTGCATCTAGAAGAATCTCATACGAAACTGTTGGAACGACAAATCTAAACTAAAAGATGTTTGATGAAATCAGCAGAAACTCTCTTTGCAAACTGTAAAGGGCTCAGAAAGCATCGCTCTACATCCAACTGATTCTGTGTGTTTTTCCTCCTGTTAACTATTAATCATAAAAATACCAAACTTATCTTTTCAGATAATCAAAATCCATTTTGGTGGCTTAAATTGTAACAGATATGTGCCTCAGTATGTCTTTTTACTTGTGTAAATATTGGTTAAGATGAAGGATAAGTGCTCCACTCTGTACGTTAGTACAATGAGAGCATGAAGCAGTTAAAAGTCTCAGTTTCTGCTGAATCCTCATCTCCATCCTGATATCAGAAATCTGGACTGTCTAATTGTTTGGGGGGGGATTTGGTGGGCAACCTTGACTATGACCACTGCAGCTCTTCACTTTGACTTTGGTTGTTGTCGTGTGTGTATGTGTGTGTGTGTGTGTGTGTGTGTGTGTGTGTGCTTAAAGAATGCTATCAGCCTGATTAGGGAACCCTCCAGCCCTCTTTACAAACACTAAGCTGATAAAACTGAAAGGTCCACAAAGGCTTTATGGGCGTCCTGGAGAGCCTGCAAGTGTTTGCTCTTTGACTCTGTAAAACCAGGCAGAGATGGTCGTAAAATAACAACAAAAAAATGTTTTCACACTTTTCATACTCCTTACCTGTGTGTAGTCATGCATGGCTTAGACCGTTTGAAGGAAAAAAWATATATATATTTGATTGTATATACCCATTAATGACTTCTGCAGGAGTTTAAAGGTGTCAGAGAGTCAATATTTATCTTGCATATAAAGTACACCAGGCTGCACAAAAGCTGTTTTTGTTCGGAGTGATTGATGCTCTTTGGTTGCACTCTCCTGCTGACTTTTTGTTGTGATTGTGTGGTCATTGTGTGTTCATCTATTATGGTTTATGATGTGTTCTCAGGACGGTGTTTGAAAGAGGGAAATCATCCTGTAGTTTGAGTGTTTTTACTAATCAGCCACCTGATCAAACAGCTGCGTACAAAAGTCTTTAAAAAAATCTTTTGAGCCCTAAAATCTGGAAGTTTGAAAAAATAAGTTTTTGTCGCTAATGAATAAGTAATTATCTGCAAAAGAGGATTAGGACCACTGGGGGGAAAACAATAATTCTGACTTTTTTTTCCTTTTTTTTTCCAGTGGCCCTAATCCTCTTTCATAAATATCTAATGTTCCTTAATAAACATATCTATATTTCCTTATGGAAATTCTTAATATGATTTACAGTAAATCTCTTCAAAACTCCTGCTTTAGTGACACATTAAATAAAACTGAAAGCAGGTGTGAGTTTCACTTTTCTCCCGCCCTTCATTTTGCCGTCTTGTTGAGGAACACGCAGCGTTCGAGTGTTTATTCTGTGCGTTTTGTGTCATGTTTCACTGGGCTGTTTGCTAGCTTTCAGGGAAAATGGTCTGAGAGAGACAACTGTGCTTTTTGACCTCRGCAGCACAAATAAAGAGAGCAAAAACCAAACACACCTGTGGACCGAGCCGTCAAGCTTTTATATGGAGATATTTGTACTTGGAGTACGCACACATCAGGAGCCCTTCTAGGAGCTGCTCGTTGTTCCGAGTAATGTGGAGCTCAGCATATTTTTTTATTTATAAGCAAACACAATCATATTTCTTCAAAGTGACCACTCCGTTGCATGTGATTGTTTTGGAGATAAAGCTGTAACGCAGTAAAATCAAACCACTGCAGTACGGTGCACGTTCTCTCATCTAACTGCTACAACAGAGAAGTGTGAGAGGACGCCGTCGTCTAAAGCACTCTGCAGCAAAGCAAAGCAAAGARAGCCTGGTTCAAAAGTTTATCTTAATTTAGCTTGTTTAGTTTTAAGCTTAGTGTTGATCTCTGTGATCACAGTGTGGAGCGAAACGTGGCGGTACGGAAAGCCAAATGGATCAGAAATGACGTACCAACTACGACAAGCCATTTGTGTATTTGTTTGATATACTTATRTATTTTCACTGCTGGTTTGCTACCTGCAGCACATTAGCACAGTCTTTTTTCTTATTTTCTAATCAACACCTTTTTGGTTTTGGAGTTTAATATTTTGTTTAATKTAGGAGACAGTTATTGATTCAGAATGGATAAAAGGGACCTTACAATTTGTAAGCTTTCTATTGAAGCTACCAGTTCACTCACACCACATGATTTGCTTCATTTAAGCCTCATAAAATTAGAATCAACAGTTTATAATAAAACACTATAGATCRACAACACAGTTGTTTTTACCCTCATTAGTGCTCGTCGCCACATAAACCCCCCCTTTTTGCTCTTTGGACCTGGTGGCTGTGCTGAAAGCTGTCACCRAATGATTGATGGTCATTGGTTGAGGCTATCTAATCAGCAGTAACAGGGTTCACGCTGGTAATGAACACTTAATGACCTGACGGGAAAACTGACACACACTTTTAAAGTTAGCTGACAGAACTTAAACGTTATTAAATATAAAKAAAGAAAGAAAAACGACAAACAAKWCTTAATAGTTTCTTTGTACTTTTTCACTTTGAGTTCAGGAAAAGCACCAAACCACAGGTTGAGGAATGTGACTTAGTCCAGTTTTCTTATCTGCCTTTGTTTAAGTTGTGTTTGCCCTTTCATTGATTACATTAATTTCCATTTTACTGGTGAAAGATGACATTTTTTACCTGTTGTGTGCATGCCACCCTATTCATCAGAGCGTTTTGTCGTCCTTGTTGATGATTAGCTCGCTATTGGCAATAGCACGTTGTATCACGGCAGAGAAATGTCAGCGTTTGGGTGGAGTTAGATAACTGTCGAGTTATGTTTCCTCGGCTTGTTTTTCAGCTCTGCTTTGAATTCATTTCATGGCTCCTTTTGTCGTCGCGCCGTCTTTTCATTTCTGCCGTATTATTGTAAAACCAGTGGAACTYGTCTTGTTGGGTAGAGTAAACATTACAGGTACAATAAGCTGTGACAACAGTTAGACAGTTTGAAGTCTTTGTTGTGCTCGTGACATTCGGTTTTTCATGTTTTAATTTTCTAACAGTCAAGTGTTTTTTTAAAGAAAAACCTGTAACAACGCAACTGTTTGTGTCGTTGTAGAGCTTCTCAGAATTTCGTCACACAAAGCAGTTTTAAAGCTGTTGTGTAAAAACTGGTACAAGAGAAATGTGTTGTTTTTTTACAGATTCAGATTGTTTTAAGTATCAATGTCCCAGAAGTTAGTAAAAATAAAAATATTGAGTTTCTTGGTGACCTTAACCGTAATCCCTCCAGCCTACAGACCTCATTTCTTATGAAACAGGAAGCAAACATCTGGAAGAAATTTTTCGTGTTCATTAACTGAAATCATGACAAAACCACATAATATTGAATAGATTAAAATGTGACAAGAATAGGGACCATACAACCCAGATCTGGTTACGAGGCTAGAAACAATCTGAGCAGCGCTACCTGAAACCCGGACTTCCAGTCCTTTCATACAGACTCTTCAGGGCCTGGAGCGCCCACTACAGGCCTACGGTTGCATCGCAGGCCATTCGAACAAATAATGCCTTCCCTAATGAATTAATAACGATTTTTCGGTGTGTTGATGTTTCGGGCATGTACTTAAACTATTTTAATCAGGAGTTAACAATAGTTAAACAATGGATTATAAAAGTTAATACTTAAAAGGAAAACTAAGAAAATGGTGTAGTGCTTTTAGCATCAGTTTCTAACCGATAAATTCCTTCACATCTATAAAAAGACTAAAACCCTGATCCAGACTTCACGTTCTGCCGTTTGCAGATGACTAAATGCTCTTCTCTTCTGTCTCCCAGGAGAGAAACCGTACCATTGTACGTGGGAGAACTGCGACTGGCGTTTCGCCCGATCCGACGAGCTCACCAGACACTATCGGAAGCACACCGGAGCCAAACCCTTCAAGTGCATCGCCTGCAGCCGCTGCTTCTCCCGCTCGGACCACCTGGCCCTGCACATGAAGCGCCACCAGAACTGACTCTGATGCGCTCGTGCGCACGAACCCAAGCAGACACACACAACCCAAAACCAGACCCCAAATCCACCGTCGACCCGGCGCTAATGAGCTGAGCGCTAACCGGCTTCGAGGGTTGATTTCATTTTTAAAAATGACAAATAGAGATGATTTTGGTGTCTAATCTAATCTCTGAATTTCTGAGATGAACTGATCAAAACTCCAGCTCATAAAATGGTAACACATTAACACTCAACATCATCAAACAAACTGTTGTTGTCGGATGGACTTGGGACTCCGGAATAATCTTGGAAAACCTTAATTTTCTCTACCTGACTCTCTTCACTTCAGCTTTTCACATTTTCAGGTTTGAACTTTCAACAAGAGGTGGAAACGGTCCCCTCCATCGTGCCCGTGTAAATACTTGTTTATAGGTGTGTGTTTGTGTATTTGAGAGTATAACGAATGTATTGAATTTTATACTTGACGACTTTTATTTTCACTGAATRTTAGGAGTAATATTCAGCCTTTTAACTTCCTTGTGATACAATCTGGCCTTTTTTAAAAGAAAAAAACAGGAATAAAAATCAACAGACCCAATAAGGAGGGCCTCCATGAAAGAGTTAATCATCATGTGGTTCTGCCTGTTTTCAGGTATTACCTGTGAGATCAGAGACCTGAGCAGGTTGCCAATGTTTGTATCCCTGACAGGAACCGTTGCCACAGTGACCATGTTTCATTCATGACAATTTGGGTTGCTTTTATCTTTTCGTTCTTGGATGTTTTTCTCTTTTATTTTTATTTTTTAATTAAATTTAAATTAGGCCAAAGTGATTTTTCTCAGTCATGTCAAAGAAGCTTCAAGAGCACCGCCACGATCCTGCCGTCTTCCTCTTTCTGTTTTCTTTTTTTTTTCATCTTTTCGGGACATTTTTAGACCCAGAGTTGTGTGTAAAGATCAGCCAATAGCTGGGTTGCAGTCACGTGGCCCGGATGATGTGTGGCAGGAAGTGATTTGCTCCGGTTCAAAGCACAGTGAAATGGGTCAGAGTGAGTGTGCTGGAAAGCATAAAGAATCATCTGGTGTCAGTTTCCAAACAGTTTTTCTTACCGGAAGTGGTGAATGGCCACAACCTACCTCTGCATTTCTCACATTTCTTCAATTACAAGTTAGATTTTTGGGGTTTCCTCTTCTGTAACGGGTGTCAGTGTTTCAGCCTGTCTGGTTTTTATGGGTTCACTTCCTGACTGAAAGTGCTGACGTGTTCCCCGCTCTGAGACGAGGCACCTCCAGGTCTGAAAAGCATGAAGTGTCGCTCGGCCCGAGTCTTTTTGTCGTTGATTTAAGCAAAAACACTTCCTGTTATTTCAACAAAATGAWTTTTTTCTTTTATCATCACAAAGGAAGCAAGTTCTCCTGCCTCTCTCAAAGAGGGGCGCTGACCACCCACTGTGTACATATCTGAAGTTTTACTTTCAACAGAAGACTGTAAATATTTGTTTTATTTACTGATGTAATATTAATATTTTTCTTCTTTTTTTTWAAACCAATGGGATTTTAGATCGGTTGCGCGTGAGATCGCATTTTAATTTGTTTTGATACTTGTGTGTAAAATTATGAAACTATTAATGTACAAATTATTAAGAACAATGGTTTGTCATATTTTGTTTGTGCAGCAATCATGTTGCAATAAAGTAATAAAAAATATTTCCAAAATAATCTTAAGTCTGTCTTTTATTTTCTACAATCCATTTTAGATTCTTGCATCCACATCCTGCAAGKTTGGCTACATGACGTCACCAGAGGTACTAGAGACAATAGCAACTGCTAGCTCGCCAATGCAGCTAAAGCTTCCCTGGTTWTCTGCCTCTTAGCTTCTGCTAAAGGTATTTTCAAATCTAAATTCAAAATGTGTTCACAAAAACAATCTGGGTGGTCCCTGTGGTCCAGCAGTTTGAAGTGCAGCTCAGACACYRGCYAWAACAAGYTTAATGTCTTGTAGGGAAGCTTTAGCTGCRTTGGAGCTAAGGGTTGTTTTTGTCTCAGGATGATGACATCATAAAATGGGTCGAGCACCAACAACAAAGGCTGCGTTGCATTCCAAAATACCTAAATGTAAATGTTAACTTTTATGTTTAGATTTGAACATTTAGATGTATGATTTAATATTTAAATATTTTTTTAACATTTAAATATAACATTTAGTTAAAAATAGCCAAATGTAAGAGTAGTGAGCTGAAAAATAAAATGTTAGTGGAACATTTTAACACTCAAAAAGTGAGCTGAATAATGAAAAATATGTTTGTGATTTTTTTTCAACATTTTATTTTACACTTGGTGCCCCATATTTGCAAATCCTTTTCAACCTGAATTCAGTTAAACACACATGTTCAAAATAATAAACTTTATTGTTTTTTCTTTTTAGTATTTACTCATTTTTATAGAAAAAGCAGTGAAGATCCTTGCTTATAAATGACTGAGCCTTTCTGGGATGCTCCCTTTATACAGCATCATGATGTTGAACTGTTACCCCTGTCCCAGCTTTGTGTATTGCAGGCATCAAATTCAAAATTAAATCATGATATTCTGTTTTTATTTGTTTCACACACTTCATTAGAACTGGGGTTGTAGTTTGAAACAATGCAACAATGAATAGTAATTTTAGCACATCCTCGTAACACGATCAACAAATCATTTCCTGTCACCTTTTAGTGTTTGTCCTCACAGAGCAGAGGTATGCAGGTATACTGTACAGAACGTTATATAATTGCTTTTAATCGTTTTCTTGCATCAACTTCTCAGTTTCGTTCTTCCTCTGGAGGTTCCCGTCAGTCGTTGCGTGATGTGAAAGTTTCAGCCGCTGGCGAACCGCTCTGCAGGGGATGCATGAAACGAAAGAACCTGATGTCCTGATAGAACAAATAAAAAGAAAAAATCCACAATTAGGCAAGCAGAATTAGTTAGAGCGTAAGGGTAAAAAGCCAGAGAGGGTGGAGTCGCCTCTGAAGCTCGTTGGCAGAGAAAGTAGTCATTATGTTCGTGCCAAGATGCTTTCAGTCTGGAGCCTCAGAGATTTGCCTCATGGTTCAGGATGACGCCCTTAAAGTACTCGACGTGTGCATGTTAAACCCTGAAAAACGTGTTTGATGTTCCAGCAGCAAGGTTCTGTAGGTTCAATATCAAGACATCGTGTCTTACCTTTTTGTTCGCTTTAATTAGGCAGACGGTTCTTGGACCTGAACATCTTAGGGATCAACTTTGTAGCCTTTCAGCTCCTCTGGATGGCATTAATCTGGCC